CCAGAAAGTAGTTGATGTTGCCAAGATCTTTGATCTTAAAAGATTTGTCCAGGAAATGTTTCAACTCATTTATGTGTGTGATGCTTGTTCCAGCTACAAGAATGTCATCCACATATATGAGTAAAGCAGTGAAGAAATTACCTGAGGCTTTTGTGAACAATGAAGGGTCTGCAGTGGACTGTTTGTAGCCATTTTCTTGCAAAGCTTTTGTCAATTTTGCATTCCACTGCCTACTGGCCTGCTTCAAGCCATACAAGGACCTCAATAATTTGCAAACCTGATTTGGTTTATCACTATGAAAGCCAGGTGGGAGCACCATGTAAACTTCTTCATCAAGATCACCATGTAAAAAAGCATTATTTATGTCCAACTGTTGAATATTCCAGTCATTTGCTACTGTCACAGCTAGGAAAGTTCTTATTGTAGTCATTCTTGCAATTGGTGAGAAGGTTTCCGTGTAGTCTACTCCCAATTGCTGTGTGTAACCCTTTGCCACAAGCCTAGCTTTGTACCTTTCTATAGATCCATCAGCTTTGTGTTTTACTTTAAACACCCATTTGCACCCAATTGGGGTCTTACCAGCAGGAAGATCTGTCAAGGCCCATGTATTATTTGCAACTAAAGCTTCTATCTCACTGGTCATGACCTTTCTCCATGATTCACTTTGAGCTGCCTCACTATATGACTTTGGCTCATAAGAAGACAATATAGCAGATGCACATATCCTTTGACTGTCAGGCAAATGGTCATAGGAAATGACTTTATGCAGAGAATGTGGGGAGGTTCTTATGGGTGCATCATGCTTTTCTAAGGAGTGGCAATAGTAGTCAAGCATCCTGGTGGGCAAACTTCTCACCCTTTCTGATCTTCTGGGCTGTATGTGATGGGAAGGTTCGTCTTGTAAGTGTGCTTGTCTGGTGGCTTGATTATCCATCTCAATTTCATTATTGACAGATAATTCACCCCTTTCAGGCTGGAAAGGAACACTTGAGCTATCTTCTGTAGTAGAGTTTTCTGTTGCCCTTGCTCCACTTTCATCATTGAATTCATTCTCATTATTTATGCCATGAAGTATTGGAGTGGAATGCCCATGACTATCATTTTCTTCATGATCATAGTGTATATAACCTGCATCAGTAGATACTAGAGGTATGACAGGGCTGTCAGTCTGAGAATGTGGCCTATCTCTTGTAGTCTCTTCTTTGAAAGGATAATTATCCTCATAAAACTTTACATCTCTGGAAATAAAGACACAATTGTCACTTAGATCATATAGTATATATCCCTTAATATTTGCAGGGAACCCCAAGAACACACATTTCCTAGCCCTTGGCATCATTTTGTTTCTTCCCAATGAAGCAGTGGCCCCAAAACACAAGCAGCCAAAGGTTCTCAGGTTGTCATATTCTACTTCATGACCAAACAGAAGCTCATATGGTGACTTTCCATCATTCACAAGTGTTGGTAACCTATTGATGAGATAAGCAGCATGTAGGACACAATGCCCCCAAAACTCCAATGGGACTCCTGACTGAAATTTAAGAGCTCTTGCCAAATTCAATACATGTTGGTGTTTCCTTTCTGCTATGCCATTCTGCTGGGGAGTGTTCACACAAGATTTCTGATGTACAATTCCTTTCTCTTTAAAGAAAGAGGTTATAAAGAACTCAGTACCATTATCAGATCTCACTACCTTGATCTTTGAAGAGAATTGTGTGTTAACATAATAATAGAAGTTCTGAAATAGACTTTTGACTTCTGATTTATTCTTCATTAAGTGTAGCCATGTAAATCTGCTGAAATCATCAACAATAGTTAGGAAGTAATGTTCTCCTTTTAAAGAAGCAGTGGCAAAGGGTCCCCAGACATCCAAATGAATCAAATCAAAACAGTTTTGTGCTCTATTATTGCTGACAGGAAAAGCATATCTCTTATGTTTAGAAAAATGGCATATATCACATACAAAATTGGGCAATTTCTGAGATTGTACAAGTCTTATTCCTTTCAATTCTTGTATCTTATCTATAGGGTAATGTCCCAACCTACTATGCCATGTTTGTAAGGACAAAGCATTACAATTCTTATCTATACTTCTCATCTTGACAGGTGGATGATCAAGCATGTATAGCCCATCCCTTTCCTTAGCAAAACCAGCCATTATCCCATTGGGCCCCTGGATATTGCATTCATTAGCATTCAAAACAAGGGTACAGTCAGTTTGATTTACCAACTTGCTAGCAGATATTATATTGAAAGTGAAGGAGGGTATGTGTAAAACATTCTTCAACAATAGATTAGGAGAAAGCTTCACTTCTCCTATGTATGCAACCTGTATGCTTTGTCCATTTGGCAATTTGACAGAAACATCATCAAGTTTATAATAGTTTTCAAGATAGTCCAAAGAGCAAGTAATATGGTCAGTGGCACCAGAATCCAAAATCCAGACATCAGGACAATTTAAGATAGCATTTATGTGAGATTTAGGGGTGAACCTGCCTTCTTTTGACTCTCCTCCCAAATTTGTGAAGTCTGGTCTTACTCCACTCTTATTCATTGTAACTGCAGCATTGGCAGATGACTGTGTTGCTTGGTTTTGTCCTTGCAGGAGTGTCAACAGCCTTTGGAACTGATCAGGTGTCATTCCTATATCACCAACCTGATTGACATAAGAGCTGGGAACATGCTGGTTCAGTTGAGTGTCTTGACTCTTTCTATTTTTGGACTTATAACCAGGTATCCATCCTGGAGGATACCCATGCTTCTTAAAGCATTTCTCTATGGTGTGACCACTCAACCCACAGAAGGTGCATTTTGCCATACTCTTTCCTCCATAGTTGCTGAACTTCTTCTTATTAAAAGAAGTCCCCATAGCTACAACACTTTGCTCTTCTGAGGGCATGTTCTGGACAGCATTGGCCTGCACCACTTCAGTATTTTTATGGTTGATCGAACCATTGAGTTTTCTTTCCAACTTCAAGGCCATATTCAAAACTTTCTCCATGTTAGGAATCGGATCCATGACCAGGACACCAGACTTTATTGTCTCAAACTCATCATTTAACCCTTCCAAAAACCTGATCACTTGATCATCCTCTCTATCCTTGCTTATTCTACTCATCAGCTTACAAGCACATCTAGGAACACACTCACAGACAGGCAAAGATCTCACAGCATTCAATTGTTCCCAAAGAGCATTAGTTCTAGTAAAATATTCATTGATGGACTTGTTACCTTGTGTGTTTCTGTAGATTTCATTTTGGATCTCAGCTATCTTATGTGGATCTGACTGGGAATACCTTTTCTCCAATGCATTCCAGATATCCTCTGCAATCTCAAAGTATAGCACACTCTCTGCAATGGTGGAATTGAGAGATCTTAGGATCCAGGCACACACAATATCATTACACCTCTTCCAGGCAGCAAACTTGGGATCAGATCTCTCAGGACTTGGAATGGCTCCATTCACGAAACCAAGCTTATTCTTCACACCTAGTGCGATCTTCATTGACCTACTCCATGTTGCGTAATTGTGTTCGGACAATGGAGGTGAGACAAGCGAGAGATTTGGATTTTCTGTGATGTGGAGATACAATGGATCATCAAAATCATCCACTCGACGTATCGGATTCTGACTTGCATGGACTTGACTAGCCGTAGCAGAGGTTCCTCCGGCATTTCCCGTAGGGCTTCCTCCGGCGACTTCTCGATCCATGCTCACAACAGCGGCGTAACTGTGGCGTCGCTCTGATACCATGTGGAAGGTAGAGATTTCCAGGCTATGACCTGGTTTGGAGCTTGGAGAGATCAAAGTGGTGAAAGAAAAGTAACTACATTGTTGTTATTATCAAAACTAAATGAAGCAGTCAAAGGAAGTCCTTATATACAAGCTATGAAGAGCTCAGGGGAAAAAGACAAAAAGAAAGCAGTTATGGCAGTTATAACAGATTGAAAGCAAAAAGCAAAAATACAAAAATGCCCTCTCTGGCTATGTATCACATCATTTCTTCATCAATAGTAGATAGAATATAGTGAACGTGTGAGACAAGATGGAGGGGTTTTATACAAACCCAACCCCCAACCGCCCTCCTAAAATGGCGGGTCGGTTGGATCTCTGTGTTGACTGCGCCTAGGTGCGAGACCGGGTTTGTGGGTCGGCCGTGCCGAGCTCAATATGGCCGAGGCCATTGTGTTGCCTTGGGCCGAGGTTCTTTGGGCCGAGATGCCTTGGGCAAACGCGTCTTGGGCCGAGCACAGGGCTCAACCTTGGGGCCCCGGGTCCGCTCCACACTTTCTTGCTCCGCTTTTTCGGGTCGGTTTGCTAGAATATAATATATCTATCATGAGCCATGCACTCTCTTCATTGCGAGAAGTAGACGATGAAAGAGAGTAAATGTCTCGATCCGACCTCCGTAGGACAATTGCATCTTCCGCGCTGACTACGCCCGGGTTCGAGACCGGGTCTGCGGGTTGAAATTGTTCATGCATAAATAATTTAAAGATGTCTAGTGTTTTATATGTATGTCTTGTACAATTTACGGTTGCGTGACACCACTACAGTAATAGTATTATTTTAATGATCTCTCACATTATAATTGTACTAGTTTCTACTTACTAGAAGTAAAGATTTCTTTACAACTAACTTTAAAACTAAACATTGGTGGGGGTCGCCGGACCAAGGCAGTAGTGCAACACCAAGGCGACGCATGAAAGCCCAAGTAGCAAGCTACCGTAAAAGACCTTCCCCCAAAAAAATAGAGTTAATATCGTGTGAACTATTGGCCCACATATCAAATATTAAACTGATAAGAACAAATACTACACTTGATCTTAGCCAAAAGGCCGAGAAAGGTATGAGTTTCTTGTCTAACGGCCCGCTTGTTTTATAAGGTGCCATGGGCGTACACTCCTCTATCAGAAGCGATGTGGGACAATAAAAAGCTGTAGCATTCATTGATATACCGAACAAATACCCAAAATAAGGAAAAGAAAAAAAAAAACTGTTATATCAACACTATTTACTGTCAATATCTTTCTGCAATGTACAGACTACAGAGTATCATATCTTTGTTTTACAACAGAAATTGACTAACTGTGCTTTTCATATTCAAGAATGAATAGAATACAGGCAGGCAGTTGCCAACAGTAGGAATTGTTTTTGTCATCTCTTCTCTTGGGATTTCAGAGTTTGTCAATGTAATGTGAGGTTTTAGCATCACCCCCGTTTATGTTTGAAGTTGCATTTACATCACTGTTTTTTCCTCTCAACTACAAGTTGCAGAAAAGAAGATATATTAAGAAATTCCCAGCATAAAGTTTGCTAGACAAAAGAAACACAAGACAGAAGATAAAAAAAAAAAAAACCGAAAACTAACCATTTGTTTCAGGCATTCAACACCAGCTTCATATGCAGAAGACGCTTGAATTGAATTCCTAATGAGATTGACTAAATAATCAACATTATTTTCAATATATGGGTACTTTGATTTAACCAACTGGAGCAATCTGTAGCTGGTAAGAGGCATCTCCTTAGCTTTAGATATACCAAAAAAAAAATAGAGATAAATCAGTACTTACTGCCATTGCGAGACACAAAGTTTAGGACTATAATAAATTAGAGGCATACCAATGTCAAGAAGTGCTCTGTTTGGTAAAATATAGCCAGTACTTTCATCTGCTGCACGACCAACAGCATCCCTCCACTTGGACAGTCCCTAAACAGCAAAGTATTATCCAATGTGAACAAACAGAAAGTGATATCAAATTATGAAACAGTGCAAGTAATAACTCACTGCAACAACTGCAAGCTGCTTAGCATTGAATCCAGCTTCAGGTAACCTGCAATGTTCAAAGTGATATCTTTTTATAGACTAACCCTTCATCCCGCTATTTTTTTAGTTTATTGGCTACTCATAAAGTGGCAAGTTACTACTACATTTCCATATACACTTTCTTCATTAATAATGAATAAAACATACCCATATATGTTGAGATATGAAGTATCAGTCCAAATGTCTTTTGTATACAGCTGCATGCATATCTCATAGCTAAGTTTGTATACCTGCAACACATTTAATGATTTTAATAAGAACAAAATTTCACACATTAACTGAATTATATAAACTTCTTGTTTTCCTTTAACACCAGAAGGTTCTTGTTTGAGCTTCAGGTAAGTCTGTCTAGTCATGTAGTGAGAAAGAAGACACACAAATCTTACCTCTGCCAAAGGAGAACTGCTTGATTCAGTGTTGACAGATAAAGAAAGCAACTTCACCTTCATCACATCATAAATGTACAATAGAAAGTGTGTATCTTCTCTCGCATATCTACACCACAAATAAACAATAAGGAATTGAATGCCACCACTTTTTCTCATTATCTTTTAAGGATGAAATTGGACTTGACAGAAGCATAAAGTATGAACAAAAGAAAAGATACACAGGCTTAGGAATGCAAGGGGAACCGTTTCAAGATATGTACCTGAGCATCTCATCAGGAAGTGGGCGCAACCTCCAATCTGCGCTCTGATATCTACAAATACAAAGTGCTTGTAATTAATTACTTTATTCCACACAAAGGGGCATGTACAATATTCAAGAACAACTTAGGCTTCTCTAAATCTATTTCTTTTTATGCAAGTAGATCATACTCTTTCTTTGCCACAATTCCACAAAAATGCTGCAGCAAATATGCCAGACTGTTTTTCTCCATTTTCAAAACCCTTGAGGCCTAACAATGGACACAACATTAATCTCATTAGACCCCCCAAAACAAAACAAAACATAATCATTGTTATTAGTATCTATTGTTCCTTCCAATAAAAAAAGGTTCCCATTGTTAAGGCAGAACAATTTCAGAAGTTGCAACTAATACAGAAAACAAAGGTTTATTAGTTGAAAACAAGTAGAGCATTTATCCTATAAATTTTCCTATCACAAGCATCAATTACAAATTTGAGACATTAGTCTGACTTCTTTATTGGGAATTTATTGCTCACACAAGCAAGGACTTATCTACATGATATTCTTAATTTGTAAAATATATTATAAGGACAAACAGAAGATTTCTACTCATTTCACTCTTTAAAAAAAATTACTTTTCCCTGCATCAAAAAGATCCAAAGGGGTAGGATATAAATCCAAGAACTTGATAGTCTAACAGGTTCAAAGAACTAAGTAGCGCTTTTCTTCATAATCAAAGTAAAAAATAATACTTGATGAAAATATTGTTGCCAAACCTACAATATCATTCATTTTCTTAAAAACTATGAATTCCTAAGATAATATCATTTATAAAAGGAAATCCAGGAATGGTTAAGTAGACTGGCAGGTCTTAAATATAAGATTCACAATAAAAGACTTGCCACTACTTCAAGTTTTTGCCATAGGACAAATGATCTCTCCAATAGAAAACAGAAAAAAAAAAAAAAAAAAAAAAAAAAAAAAAAAAAAAAAAAAAAAAAGAAGGATTAGAAGTACAAGAGGATAGCAAATGAAAAGATAGATCAAATGTGTGTGCAATGTTTAGATAGTAGTCCAGCCATAAACAAAATGACTGTAGTTCATTAACCAAAGTATTTATTCAACATTTATCCATCAAATCAAATGCATGTCCAAACCAAGGTTCACAAAGTAGTAAATTTAGTCCAAACCTGCCTAGTGTCGAACAGATTGCAGATGTATATACCAAAATCTCGTTGAAGCCACAGAATATCCTTGTCTGCTCCATGCATGACCTAGTGAAGCACAGAATTGTGATGTCTTCATTGAAAGCATCAATAGACAAGACTAAAGATTTTACCTTTCTTTTGGTTCGATCTTTAAAAATTTCTCTTAGATAAGGACCAACATAAATGCGAAGTTTCAGTGTGTCAATGACAAAATCTTCAGTTCTAGTAGATATTTGCATAAGGCATGTGATTCCTAAAAAGGATCGATATTGATTATGCTCCAAATCAACCTGAACCAGAGTAGATTTAAGGAAAAAAAAAAAAACACTCATGTTACTAGCATTCAAAAATGTGTCTGCAACGTTTAGAAACATGGTTTATTTATATGGTCCCAGGAAAGAAAAATTAAAGGGTAAAATACGAACCAAAAAGCAAACCAAACTGTCTGATATATATACAGCATCTATAACAAATAACAGGGAAAGTTTGCATCTCTAGTTCTCTACTGCAAATGCCAAGCATTCTATGCCCTTGACAAAAGATTAATCTCAAAACGGACAAATATATAATTCTGACCCAATCATAAATTTCAAAAAACAGTGAGTTCAAAAGTGAGAGCTTCAAGCATGTTAAACTTTTGAACCATTCAAGCAATGCCCAAACGCTGCAACATAAAGCAAGTAATTAAGGTGCTCAACTATTTTACCAAAGGTGTAAGACTGATGAAATGATATGGATATAAACATACATATATTTAGATGCCAAATCATCAATAGTTGACACTCTGAAATTATAGAGTATAATCTCAATTCAAGTGATGTGTGTGTTAAACTTTTCACATAAATAATGCTGGTGTGAGTATGGCAAAGGATATCAGAAATAATGAAATATAACTACAAAATGGCTCTACACGATCAACACCACCAAAACATGAAGATAGCGGAGAATCTAACCCATAAATATGACGACAACAGGGAAGAGGTTGTGAGTAACTGTTAAACAAAATGTGAGATGTGCAGCATTTTCTTCGATTTGTTCCCAAGTACACAACTAAGAAGAAACTTTACATTCAGGAATAAAGAAAATAAATTTGGGCTGACAACAAATAAAAGAATATTGGGAAGCTTATAGATTTCCTCACCATATATGCATAGAAAAACCACTTATATTGAGTTAACAAATTAAAAGATTTTGATCAGAAAGCATATATGGAAAAAATACGCAATAGAAAAGGGAAGACAACAAAAGACAGAGTGAAGATGAAAACAAGAAACATATAATCAAGAATTCTGAAAAAAAGTAAAAGAAGATTTTCAATCAAACTGTAGTGTACCGCAAACTCATCCACTCCTTGCAACTTAAGCACCAACTCCTTCAGATCTTTGAGCTGCTCCACTAGTTTAAATGGAGTGTGATCTAAAGAATGAGGTTTGACAGGGTCGGAGGCAGCAGCAGTGTCAACAAAGTCGAGGGAAGAAAACTTCTCCTGCAAGAAAATAAGTGAATTGAGACCCTTCCTTCTTCATATCATAACTAAGTTTAGAGGAAAATTCCAGATTCAAATCAGATCATTCTTGAAAGAGAGAGAGAGAGAGAGAGAAAGAAAGCACTAACCAGGGGATGTATGAACCTGGACTCATCCTCACTTGTCTCCAACCACACATGTTCGAACTCCTCGCTCAAGTTGTTCACGAGTATCCGGTACTCGTCTTGCGGCTTCGGAATATAGGATATATGAAACGGCACCGGCGGACCACCCATCTTAACTACGCCTTCCCGCCCTTCCACCGAGCTATCACTATCAGAAATTTTTTTAACTTGTTTTTCTTTCGGAATGTATGCCTTTTGGAAGTGCTCTGAAGAAGAGCAAGTGTGGATCATCTCCAATGCCCGGCCTTAAAGCCTCAAATTTCAGTTTATAGGGAGCGGAGCGGAGTTAGGTTTTCTGTTTCTTCAGCTCAAACCTCACTGACGCGCTCTAAGTGCCTCTTCCCGTCAAACGCAACAGAAGGATGCTTCCATAGTCTATCAATGGAGGAAGGAACAGTTACTGTAATAATTAATTCTGTACAAAAGCAATAACTCCATAAATTGGATTGTAATAAATAAAATAATATGTGTAATCTAATTTTGTATTCTCAATTTTTATTCTAACATATACAATTTTGACGTAGACATTTGTATTAGAACTCACGTGAAAAAAGTAATTTATTTAGTAAAATTTTAGAAAATAAGATTTAAGAGTTCATATAGTATAATTCAGAGTTAATACCCAAAATCGTCCTCGACTATAGTGGTTTTTCTCAATTTCGTCCTAAACGACTTTGGTGACCTAATATCATCTCAGACTTTTGAGTTTCGCTCAATTTAGTCCTCCATTTGTTATTTGTCAAATTGGTGTTAAATAAAGGGAATGTCAATATTGATCTCTCTTTACTTTCAACTTGTGAAGTGCGAAATTCCTCTTTCTTGTACGACTTACACCCAGAATTACTCCCGGACCTGCAAATCAAATTTTATATTCGCAGTTTTAGGAGTAATTCTGGGAGTAATTCGTAAAAAAAAAAGGATTTCGCAGTTCCCATGTCTATGAGTAAAGAGATGCCAATATTAAAATTATTGAATTGTCTATTTATTTAACACCAAATGGACAGAATAACAAATGAGGGACTAAATTGAGCAAAAACACAAAAGTCTGGGACTAAATTGAGCGAAACACAAAAGTCTGGGACGATATTAGGTCACCAAAGTCGTTTAGGACGAAATTGAGAAAAACCACTATAGTCGAGGACGATTTTGGGTATTAGCTCGTATAATTCATAATCAAAATACTCCCTTAGCCATTTTGATTATTAACTCTAAGTTAAACAATCACGTCAAATGATTAGAATGAGATAAATTAATTTAGATTGTTTATAAATGATTAATTCAAATTAAAAAGATTAATAAATCGTCTTTTGTTAGAGTTAAACTTATAATATTGTGATCATCAACTTGACCAACATAGTTTGAGTCTCGTCTTTTTAATATAATATAATAGTATATCATAACATTATATATTAAGTATTTAATACTTATGACTAACGGTTATAATTATAATATATTATATTATAATATTAAAATGATAATTGAATTGGAGTGGTCGCCAACTAGCGACCATTCCAAGCACCTAGTCCACGCTTACACCAAGAATCAAAATTCACATAAGCACTTAGTTATTTTTTTATTTTTTTATTTTTGCATCTTTTAAAAGTAATTAATTTTCCTTTTTATTGCAGTGACTAGTATTTTTTATGCGCGATGCGCAAAAAATAGGTGCCCAATATTAATATATTATATTAAAATTTTAAATTTATTTAGATTTTAGATATTTAAATTATTCTAAATAATAATAATAATAATGTAAATCATTTTTATAAATTTGATATTTATATTTTATGTAATAATTAACATATAACTCAAATATATAAATTTTATATATTATTATTAATGAAGAAGATAAGAAAATATATGGTGGATGCATGTTCATAGTAATAATAGTGGAAAAGATAACGGAAGTTATAACGGTAGGGTATTTTTGTCCAAAATATTTTAATGTACAACCTTTATAGCATAATGTACAAAAAAACTTAACGAAAAAAACGGACATAAATCAGGGGTATAACTTTCATTCACACTTATTATGTTTTTAGATTTTTGTGTCAACCAAGTTCAACTTTTAAAACAAAAATTAAAACATTATCATCGTTAAATTTAATGTTTATGTTTACTAAATTATAAATTGATTATGAAAATTGATAAAGGTACAATTGAAAATTGAGAATAAAAATTAGTAATTGTTAATAGTCAAGAGATCATTATTAGAATTAATTCTATTTAAAAATTAGATTAAAAGTACCATTAAACGCACACGATCAAATTTTAAAATATTAAAAATAATAATAATTGATTTGAAAATTTCACAAGTAAAATGAGAGATCATGAGTAATTAGTAATACCAAAACTAGCTTCCACAATCATTCCCAAGACATGAGATTCGTTGCAGTACTTTCGATATGATTTCGTGTGACTTTGACATGTGTTTTACCTTTTCTTCATGCAATTATCGACCAAGTAATACCCACATACACACATATCTTTTAAAGATTTTATGAGATATATGTGTATATTTGTATTCATTGTAATTCTTTATTAGGCGTTATTAAAATCAATCTTACACATTTACTAAATAATTTTTTTATTAGATCAGTACAAGTATTTTCCCTCGTGCGATGCACGAAATGGATTTGTTAAAATAGTTTAAGAATATTTTAATTGATATACAATTATATAAATTATTACATCGAATATTATATAATGCAATTGAAGAATTGAGTTTGATTGATTGTATTTTTTGATGTTATCATTGCTTGAATTCGAGCAAATAATTGCACAATTAATAGTCAATGTTTAGGTGTACTCATTCGGTGCTAAAACTTTAGAGATTTTAAATATCAGTGTTCACTGAATTATATATGGGGATCATATTTAATTTCGAGGGAATTATTAATATTCATTTCCCTTTCTAATTGGTTTAATTTGTTTTCCATCTTTAAGCAAAATCTTTCTTATACATTCTATACATAATTACACATCTTTATATATACGTGTCGTAATGAGGTCCCATAATTTTAGATAAAGATGTGCTACAAAATCAGTCATAATAAATTTCTTTTGAATCATTCGTATGCATTGCAAGACCATTTCATCTGTAATTACACTATTTTCCTTATAAAGTATGGATACTAAATGATTCTATTCAGTTTTCCATTTGTAAATAAATAAATAAATAAATAAATAAATAAATAAATAAATAAATATATATATATATATATATATATATATATATATATATATATATATATATATCAGGGACGGAGGGAGAGGGGGGCAGGGGGGCGGCTGCCCCCCCTCACCCCACCCCCACCCCCACCCCCACCCCATATATAGTATTTGTATGTATATATGTATATATAGTACATGTTTTAGTATTAGTATAAAAAAATTATAAAATGTTAATAAGAAGTGAGTTAGAGTAGGTACCAGAGTACATCTTTGGTAATAATAATGAGGTTAAGGGTTCTAATCTTAGCATCAACATAGTTTTATAATTCTTTTTTAATAGCTATTTTAATATTACACACACACTCTATAATAAGATGTGTAATTTATAATGTGTTTTCTATTCAAATTATGTTTCATATTTTGTTATGAATATTTTTATAAAGTTTAGATGTGTTTTATTTTTCGTCCATATCCAACAATATTTACAATAATATTTCTTAGGTAGTTTATTTATTTATTTTTAAATTATCTCTTTTGTTTTAATATTTCGTCTTTTCTGAAAAAATTTTCTGAATCAGTCTGTACTATTTCGCCCCCCTCAACTGAATTTCTGGCTCCGTCCAAATATATATATATATATATATATATATATATATATATATATATATATATAAATATATATATATATATATATATATATATATATATATATATATATATATATATATATATATATATATATATATATTATTTTTAGTAACTTTATATTTTATAAAATATATAACCGAGATTAATCTATTTTCCATCTCTGCTAAACCTTATTTTAAATATCTGTTCAGTGAATTATATATGAGGATCATATTTAATTTTGATGGAATTATTAATATTAATTACTTTTTTTCAATTGGTCTAATTTGATTTTCATCTTTAAGCAAAATCTTTCTTATACATTCTATACATAATTACACATCTTTATATATACTTATTGTAATAAGGTCCCATAATTTTGGATAAATATGTCCTACAAAATCAGTCATAATTAATTTCTTTTGAATCATTCATACGTATTGCAAGACCATTTCCATCTTTAATTACACAATTTTCCTTATAAAGTGTGGATACTAAATGATTCTATTCAGTTTTCCATTTGTAAATATATATCTTTACATTCTAGTAATATATATATATATATATATATATATATATATATATATATATATATATATATATATATATATATATTTTCCAGTAACTTTATATTTTATAAAATATATAACCGAGATTAATCTATTTTTCATCTCGGCTAAATCTTATAATTACACAATCCTTATATTCTTAGTATAAAATAACATTTGGTGTAAAAATTATTAATTTTCATCTCGATTAATATTCTTTCCATCTCGGCTAAACCTTATATTTTCATCTCGTATTGTAAAACCTTTTCCATCTTTAATTACAAAATTTTCCTTATAAATTGTGGATACTAAATGATTTTATTTCATTTTCCATTTTTAAATATATATCTTTACATCTTTACATAACTATATTCAGTAACATATATATACAGATTTTTTTATATATTTCCAATAACACATTTTGTAAAATATATAATCTCAGATTAATATTCTTTTCATGTACTGAGTCAGTTTGGAAGCATTTTCATTTTCAGACAACTATTAATAGTCATTTCTTATTTCAATTGGCTTAAATTCCGTGCCATTTTTATTCTCAGTCGATTATTCTTTTTTAATACATATTAATAAATAAATAATTAATTAATTAATTGATTATTAATAACAGTTTTTTTAATATTTCCAGTAACTTATATTCTATAAAATATATAACCGAGATTAATATTTCTTTCCATCTCGGCTAAATATTGAGATGCAAACTTTATTTTACATTTTTATTAATACATTTTATACTAGTAATTTTATATTTCCAGTAACTTATTAATATTCAAGTATTAATATTCATTTCCTTTTCCAATTGGCCTAATTTCTATGAAATTTTTATATTTCCAGTAACTTAATAATATTCAAGTATTAATATTTATTTCATTTTTTAAATCAAGTATTAATATTCATTTCATTTTTTGCATTTGAGTTAGTTTGGAAGCATTTTTAATTTTCAGTCAGTTATTAATTAATAGTCATCATTTCCTATTTCAATTGGCCTAATTTCTGTGTCATTTTTATTTTCAGTTAATAATTATTTTTGTAAGCTATTATAAGTTAATAAATAATTAATTATTAAGGCAAGTATAATTTATTTTGTACTAATAATATTATACATTAAATATAAATATAAATATATATATATATATATATATATATATATATATATATATATATATATATATATATATATAAATAAATATATATAATATACACACCCACACACTTTTAATTCTATATTGATAAGCATAATCTGTGTATATACTTTAGAAAAATATTCATTATTAAAAAGGGGATATACTTTAAAAAGTAAATAATCAATTAGATTGCCTAATATAATTGTCCTACTAATTGATTCTATGCTACTATAATTCATACATTTAAAGACTTTTTTAAAATTAAATTCCTATTAATTGTCTTAATAATTAAGATAATCATTAGTTACATCAATAGTACTAAAAGTATTACTTTGAATTTTTATAAATAAGTTATAATATTGTTAAACTGAAATAATTAAATGTAATGTGTGCACATTACAAAAGATTTTATAATTGACTTAATAATTAACTATTAATTTTTATTGACTAATACAAATTGTCAATTATTAAACATTATTTATGGTAACTATTGTATGCCATGTAGTACTAAAATTATTAGGTATTATTTTTAGAACTAGTATTAGCACCTGTGTGATGCACATAATGTATTCGTTATATATAATATATGAATTATAATTTGCTTCATATTCGACAATGTAAATTGTAACGTTAAATTAAGGTTTGTATGAATGTTTCGGAATTGAATTAATTGGTCTCATTATCTTGTTGTGTAGTAATTTAGCTATAGAAATTTTTGTAACGGAATATATACGTAATATGTAGATATGTAACAATTTTGTTATATTTGTGCAAGAAGAATACACAATATAACTGTTTTGAAGTACACATTGTTGAAAACCTCTTTGTAGACAACATTAGTAGTAGTAACAGAACTTTGTCCATCCTCGTCTAGAGCTAAAACCTTAAGGCCATCAGGATGAGTGACTCAGGAAAAAGCCACGTACAATTGACCGTGATTAAATAATGGTTTTCAACAATAAGCCAACGTGAGTTAGTGTTTGACCCTAGCTTTTGTTGATAGTCATTGCATATGCTAACATCAACGTGAATTGTTTACGCTGGAACTTGAACGGCAATCTCGTATCAGAAGGGGTGAGAGACATTCGTGGTATAAGAACTTTGGTTCCTTGTTGTGTTCCATTAACTATTCTTGCTTCGACAATATGATCCGCCAATCTTGTAACGATGAGGCGCGTACCGTTGCAAAGACCAAGAGAGTGGTTTATGTTCCGCAGTAACATAACATGTGAACCAACCTTTATTGCCAATGAATGATTAAGAAGTCAAGACAATCTCAAGCTATTTAAAAATTCAGGAGTGTGTACTTGTGAATTGTGATAGATTATCACCATCAAATTCTTCCTCACACAAAGAGTCACAACTTAAATACGTCCGACCTTCTGCAGTGTTCATGTCACACATATACTGATTAATTTGATCAACAACATCTAAAGTCGGTGAGAGGATAGTTCGTCCTTCTAGGTGCGACTCTTCAAGCATTCCATACTTTGCGGTTGGGAACATGCTTTCAACTACAGTTGCAATTGGATCAGGTCCACTCTTCAACATAAACCTTGGTGGAATATCGATCTGAAACAAACCATTGTTTACAAACCCTGCAATCCCATCTTTGATGTCTGCAATCCATCTTGAGAACCAATCAACCGTTTGTCTATCTTCGTTTGAAGCTAAGCTCTGTAGTCTCAGGTTCTTCGTCAGCCTCAATACCTTGCAATTCCTCCAGAGGTCTGAAGAGTTAATAGTGGCTCCCAGAACCATTGGTCTCGTCGCTTTTGGAATAACTGGAAGAAACTGTCTAAAATCACCGCTCAATACTACTGTCTTTGCACCAAATGTTTTCTGATCACTACCAGGTATGGTGAATCTCAATAGATCTCACATGGTTTTGTCTAAAGCCTCAAAACAATATTTGTGTGTCATCGGTGCTTCATCCCATATTATCAATTTGCTCTTGATTATAAGTTAGCAAAGGTCACTGCCTTGCGATATATTTCAGGTGAAATCTTCATTCACTGAGAGCGGTATAGCAAATCGAGAATGCGCCGTCCTGCCACCCGGCAAGAGCAAAGATGCTATTCCACTTGAAGCAACGTTTAGAATAATATCACCGTGGCACCTTATCTTTGAAGATAATGTTCTCCACACGAACGTCTTGCCTGTTCCTCCGTAACCATACACAAAAAACAATCCCCCTCCATTAGAATCAATATCATTCATCATAGAGTCTCAAACAACCTTCTGTTCGTCTGTCAATTGAGTTGCCAATGTTTCATGCTCTGCCTTAAATGATTCCTTGTCGTACTCCAACTCTTCAGATATCAACATGTTTTCCGTCAATCCAATGTTGTTTTCTTCTGGTAGTGGCATTTTTGGATAGTCGCTCAGACTCTTCCCCCACAAAGACAATAACTTCTCCAACTCGACCAGAGCAAATTATTGCTTATCGTATTCCGATAACAACAAATCTTCATAATTTAGAAACGAAACAAAAACAAAATCAACGAATGAGTTTTTGTATAAATAATGAAAAGCAAATAATAATGTTTAATAAATAGATTGGATGTTGATGTGCCTGGATTGTGCATTAAACGTGACGATGGAACTGTGCATCCTCCACAAAAAATTGCCAAATGGCATTCTACACCTCCTCTTGTCTACTAATTGAACTTGAAGTGAGTAACGTAGCAAACAACCTTCGCAATGCAGACGCGGAAGCACAATGACTGGATTCAGTAATACCGTCGATGTATTCCTTGTCATCATCTAATAATCCATATTCATAACATGCATCCCTGAATGATTTGTGAATGACCCCTCCAACAGTGCGAATATCCTCGTGGCTTGAAGGTCCACGTATGATATTTAAAAGACATCTTAGATAGTATAATTCTCCACACCTTGGCGGAACATAGAACAATCGTTCTATGGAGAATCCTTTCTTCCTTGGATGCCATTCACGCATGTTTTGTTTTCCAAACAAACTTACTGGGGAACTCTGCATAAGTGAGCGACCGAGCATCTTCGTATTTTTTGTTTGCCTCAAACCAAGCAGTGAACTGGCTCTGCTTAACCGTTTGGTTCTCGACAATCTCGTCTAGTTTTGTTTGATCTTCCCCATAGACAATGTTCTGTTGGTGCTCTAAGTGGAAATTTAACATCTCCATAGGTGGCGTACGATAATGTATCACGTACCCAAATAGTTGCCAGGTGGCTTCACATGCTGATATATAGCGACAATCGTAGTACATGTTAATCTCATCGACCACATCACCATTGAGTGCATTCGTAGAATTACTCATGAACTCTGCCGTGACTCGATCGTTTCCTTTATTGACGTATTTGAATAAATATTTGATCGATCTCGACCGGTTGCACCATTCAACATTAATATGTGCGCGATATTTTAGAGGCAGATGTTTATTATGCGGGACAACGTAACAGTTATCAAGTTGGATTCCATTCCTACTAATTGTGCGTCCATTGTCACGACTTCTGTAGTTTGGGTAACCATCTTTATCCAGAATCATTTGACTAACATATTTTTTCGGAAAATATTTTGAACATTTACCATTTACCATGCATGACGAATTCTTCTGGAGTTGTCCGCACGGTCTGTGCAACATAAATTCTCTAACTGCGTCATTGTATTCATTGTCAGTATCTGGGTTTGGAATCTCAGCAGAAATCAAAGCATCAATTTCAGGTGCGGAATTAGCTCGATTTATTCTTTTGGCAAATAGCAATATGTGCGCGTGAGGGAGATCTCTTTTTTGAAATTCAATTGTGTAGATAACTGTGCAGAATATTAAAATAAAAATAACAATTTAATTTTAATAATGGAATTTAGATTTAATTAGGGCACATTAAAGTATGTATGAAAAATCAAATACCTCCACATATGTCGCCAAACAGCATTTCTGTCTTGATCTCTTCAATCATAGCATCAAGTTTCATCTTAAACACGCGGCAAACAATACCGGGTCTATCCTCTGCTTTAAGCCCACGTTGTGCAACATACCGCTCAATCTCAGGCCACTTTGGGTTGCATGTGAATGTTATGAACATATGTGGATAACCGATGTGTCTGCATATTGCCATTGCACCTTGATAATTTTGAATCATAGACCTAGCTCTGCCTGTGAATGATGATGGTAGTATAATTCTTTTACCCCGAGATGTGGGATCTAATTCGCCCCTTGTTAATGCTTCGCTCAACCCCTGATAAGCTTCACACTGCAACGCTTGCTGCTGAGTTCTAATGTAGAACAATCGTGCGTATTTGATCATTGTATATGCATCAACCAAGTATTGTTGAAATAATCTCCTAGAATACAACAACGTATGCGTCTCATTTACCTTCTCATGTATATAGAATGAGAAATACTTTTTAGGGCTAATTCTTGTCCTACCACCATGATGTCCTTGGCGCCATGCATCATAAAATGTAATATCTTCAAGATAACCATCTTCGCCATATGGGAACAATAAAGGGTACTGTAGCAGCAAATATACAGGGTTCAAATGGTTTATTCTCTTCAACTGTCCAGCTCTCAATCAATATGTCTGGATCACCCATTGATGGATCTAGGTCCCCAACAATAAGTGCAACCACCTCATTAGCAGTAGGCAAATTGTATGTCCTTCCGTCCTTGATTCGCCTACCTATTAAATTCACTTTTAACCTCAACAACTGGATTAGACTGGATTTCAGTTCTTGCCATTCTGAAACATTTGACCAAAACATTATTTCGGTCTAACATGTTCTTTAATTCCTCAACAATATTTTCATGGATATCCCATTATCCCCTAAGTTAATGTCTCTTCTGCATACAAAACAAACGCGAGTAAGTAAATAATAGTTGTCATTGTTGGTCTAAGTGAAACACAAGGTATAATGTATTTGGATACTTACATAACAGAATTGAAGCGATTGGTAATCCCATTATCTGTGTCGTAAATATATAGCTGTGCAAACTTTGGCATACAACCTTCTTCTAGAACCATGCTTCCAATCCAATGATAATTTTGACCACTTATCCTAAAAATCGGAGGAGCGTTACCGGTGTTGATTGACCTATCAACTCTACCTCCTAGAGACGTGAAGCAGAACATGTTATATCTACGAATATTGTTGAGGAAATGTCTACTCTGTTCATTATCGTCAAAGTATAGAGTTTGGAGAATAGGAGGAGGATCCTTCATGCGAGGTAATTGTATCTTGTCATCGCGAGCAACACTTTGTGTATTTCAGCAATTCTAGCGTAACATTTTGATTTGAGCGCTCGTGTCGCCAGAATAAGGCACCACAATAATTACAAGAATGAGCAGCATCTCTAAGGTCCAAATAGGAATCTAATTAAATAAATAGTTTATAATTAATGAAGATGAACATAAAAGATTTGTGAGTTCATAAAAATGAAAATTACTAAGATTTGTGAGTTCATAAAAAAATTATCATATCTGTTGTTTTCACATACGAAATGTTCAAAATCCGTATTTAAATTCCTTGCATTTGTTTGATTTTATAATTTTGTGAATGCATGTACTCGATGTAAAATACGATTAAAAATGTTAAAAATACAATAAATGGAAAAAAATAAATTAAACATTGAACACTAAATATTGTAAATAATACCATTACAAATTTTTTTAATCACGGGTAAAAAACTGAGCATGATAATGTAAGAATGCATATATTGGATTCAAAATACCATTACAAATTTATTATTTGACCGTAATCTTATTATCAATGATTGTTTAATTTCGTGAATGATGCAAAATACCATTAAAATTTTTATAAATACAATATCAGAAAAAAAAAGAAGAAGAGTAAATTAAACATTTAATGGTAAATAAGAATAAATAAATAAATAATACATACACATCTTCTAGAACAAATTCTAAGGTTGTTGTGGTATAAGCTCCTCGATTGTTCTTGACCTCGTATAGTCGAATCAACCGTACCCTTATTGCCCACACAGTACTATAGGCGTTTATGGCATTGAGTACAACAAAAGTTGGGGCCATTACGTGATTTTTTTTTTTTTTTTTTTTTTTTTTTTTATTATGGCTAAACAATAAGAGATACAATAATGGAGGCACAGTGAATATTTCTTGGAATGAATGTCTTTTATAGTAGTAACGAAAGTAAAGTAAATAAGGTAATGGCATTATTAGTATTATTTTTTTTGAAAGGGATAATAGCATTATTATTATTATTATTATTATTATTATTATTATTATTATTATTATTATTATTATTATTATTATTAAGGTAAGTAATTATGGCGTTTGGCTGTAAAATAATTATTATAGTAGTAGTAACGTAATAGTATTGCCAGCATATTGGAATATTTGAGAGGATTTAATAATAATAATAATAATAATAATAATATAATAATAATAATAATAATAATAATAATAATAATAATAATAAAGGTAAGTAATTATAATATTGGAGAGGATTTAATAATAATAATAAAAAATTGTTATGTTATTACCATAATTAATTATTTCGTTTTATTCTATGCTATTACGTTGTTTATTCTCCTTTACCATAATATCATGTTATTTATTCTTTGGGTTTAGAATGAACTTTTATTTTATGTTAATATTACTGATCAAATTAACCATAATTAATTATACCATGATCTGCTACGTTAATATTACCGATTTATTTGTTCTAATCATAATTAAGGACAGCACAATATTATCAAATATTACAATGCAATATTACCAATTTTCATGCATCATTTTCTGACCAAATAAAAATTACCATTACTTTGACCAGTAAAATAAGTTTGGTCGAGAAAACACTATTGGAGGGGATTTTACTTTATATATATATATATATATATATATATATATATATATATATATATATATATATATATATATATATATATATATATATATATTATTAATTATTTAACAAAGAAAGGATACTCAATAAATAAGAGCATTCGTTTTTTCTTCAGTTTTTTCTGGCCAAGATTTGGGAATGAGAAGAAAAAGTTAATTTTTTTTTTAAAAAACTCCTCAATTATTGTAAATTCATTTTCCCTTTTCTTCCCTCCCTTCCCCTCCCCTCCCCTCCCCTCCAATTCACTCTCTTCCAAAAAAAATAAATAAATAAAAAAACCACTAAAATCTTCTTATTGGGTTTGTAGACATTGAAAATTTGACAACAGTAAATGGGATAATAATATCGAACTGCATTTTATTGAGTTATTTGAGTCTGTACATCAATTACTTAAATTAATTTGGGCTATCTTATTTGCCTAATTAATTTAATTATTTGATAAGGATTTAGTCAAATTATATATTTTAATTTAAAATATTATAGTTGTGAATGGGTCATGAACCTGAACATAATGATGGCTGAGGTCTTTATATTATCTTAAATATTTATTTATTAATTTTGAGATAATATCAAGGAGTTTGAGATGAAGTAGGAGTCTCACAATCTCATCCCTATAAATAGAGGTATTCATTTCATTCACAATCATCACTTGAAGTTCTTGGCGTTCATCATTGAAGAGTAGACCTTCTACTGAAGATCAAGTCATTTGAGTCCAAAGTCTTTCAACGATGAATAAGCTACGAATAAGCCCTTATTTGAGGATCAAACCACTTGAAATTCGGAAGCCCTTTAGTGGAATGCACACTCATTGTAAACTATTCTTGAATTTGAATATAGAATTCAAATTTCATGTTTATAGATTTTAGCATGCCTAATGGGACAGTTCTACCTCTCATGTTTGATCTTCACTATTAATATACTTCAACACCCAACTCCGCCAACAATCAAAATGGACGTCAAGCATCTCGGTATTTAAGAGGACTTACGCTCAGGCTGCTAGTTCCCAGTCAAAATCTAAAATTGGTTCTAACTGTAACACCTCGTGTTACGACCTTTAATCCTGGATTAATTACTTAATTAATTCTGTTAACATATAATTAAAAAGGATTTAACTAGACTAGAATCCCCATAAATTAATTAATATGATCCATGATGAATCATGGACCCTTATCCTTAACCAGGTCCTTAATTCTATAAGGAATAGGAAAAGTGGGCCTTTACCATTAATATGCTAGTTAGAACTCCTAAATATATATATATATATATATATATATATATATATATATATATATATATATATATATATATATATATATATATATATATATATATATATATATATATATATATATATATAGGGACCTAGGAAGCATTTAGAAACCCTACCACAGTTAATTCTACCACGCAAGATATTCCCGAGGAAAACCTAGCAAAGGAATTCCCCGCCACCAAACGTAGAGGAATCCATTGGAGGGAAATCTTAGAGAAGAACCTTAGTAGCCAAGGATACTGATTAGGGCTAAGAGGTAACCCATGTCTCGACAAAACCTATTTTCCTTACTATATCATATTCATTGGCTCCTTTGATTATCGTATGTGTAATTCTGTGATTGAGTCTTGATAGAGCCCTTGCTTAGGATTAATATTATGCTTATTTGATAATCTTGATATTCTTGATATTATGATGGATTATATTTGTGATCTCGTATTTTAATTATGTCTAGAGCCCTAGGGTTTATATCATGAATTTCGTATTATGGTGTTCTTAGTGTATTTGGGTGGGTTTATGCATGATCGGGTGTTGAGTCTAGCCTAGGACTTGTGTTTAGGACTTTGCATATAGATTTCTTGATATTCTTGTGGTTCCGGATGCTCCTGAACCGTTATATGATTAATGATTGGCCTTGGCATGTTTAGGAATCGTGTTAGAACGTATTTGGTATAATTCTTGGTTTAATTCCGTTAATTGAATACGTGGTTTTGTCGCTATGTGTTTGAATGTGTCTGGACATGGTTTTGGGTTCCAAGAGAGATCCCGAGATCGAAATATTACCTGTGAGTCAGTGGGGGGTAGGTGGGGGCAAGGGTGCTCGCCACCTACCCGCTGCCCGTGTACTGTTCCAGTGGGCAGCCGGCGGGCAGGCGACTACTTGCCGGGCACCCGCTGGAACAGTGGGACGCCGCCGGCTGGTGGTCCTCCACCCGCCACCTACTCGCTAGGAAAAGGTGTGTGGTTGGTGATGTTTTTCTCCGTTTGTTGTTTCCCAATGTCCCGTTGTACCCCGTTTGTCGTGTTTGAGTCTCGTTGGTGTTTTGGGTATCGTCATAAGAATTTATGTGTAATACGTGTCGTTGACGTTGTGTCTTGATTGTTATTTGATTATGTGTTGATTGATTGAATGGTGATGAGTATCTTGGTCATTGCTCAATGGCCGGTGTGAATGATGATGATGAGATTGTGATTGGTGGAAATGAATTGTTGGCGGTTGGCACCACTTGTGCCCGGTCATTGTACTAAAGGTACATGCCCTAGCGGTTACTATGCTAAAGGCACAAACCCACCTTCGACTAGCTTGCCGTTGAGCATAGATCAGGTTATAAATGTTGCGGTGTCATGTCAAGGCTATATGCGCTGACCCCTTGATATTGGAACTAGAGGTGCAAATCATGTGAATGGCACTGCGACACCATCTTGATATGTTGGTGGTTGATAGGTGGATTGTGGGTGGGGGCATGCTAGTCTTTATGATTATTCTATACTGTTGAATCTGTTATTGTGTCTTGAGTCTTGATCTTGGATTTAAGTTAGAGTCTCGTAAGCATATATGTATTCCAGTTTCAAATTGAGTTTCTTATATCTACATATATTGTACTTAACGCGTTGGAGTGGGTTACCAACATTATTCGTTGACGGTTGTTACACCGAATGTTTTTCAGGTGATGAGCATTAGCTGCGGAGCGCGCTAGTCAGAACCTTGGACTTAGCTTAGTTAGCTCTAGCATAGTAGATGGCCTGCGTGCCTTGGGTTGTATTTGAATATTGACTTACGAATTAAATATGGATTGGTTAGTTTAGGTTGTGTATCTAGGTTCTCAAACCTAGGTGTGGCATAGCACCCGGATTCTTATGGATGGTTTTATGCTCTGTTTGGGATAATTAATGTTAGTTGCGTTATTTATACACGCTTCAATTATTTTGAAAACTAGGGGTGTTACAGTTAGTATCAGATCCTAAGTTCGACCCTAGGACAACACCCTTAGGATAAGACTTTAAGACGTTAAGCTTGAATTCTAAGTGTTTGGGATACTTAGGAAAGAACTTTAGGATATTAGGCTTGAA